AGTCTCTCCATAAAGCAAGAATGATGAGTGACAGAGAAGGATTTCATACTTGAAGCTTCAACAGCTCGTTCTCTTCCATCAACTCGATTCCCTGAGTTTCAGGGTTAACACATAAGCTCACATATTGAAATAAATAAAACACCAAACAAGTAACAAAAGACCAACAACAGCCCCTTGGCCAAAAAAAGAAAAAAAAAAAGTGACCAGTAACAGACTTCATATAATCACCGGTTACTAACCTTTCTCTGGAGATCACTGATCTCAGTAATTATCTTCTCTTCCTGAGATTAATCATTTAAGATTTAGCTAAATTTACCATTAAGGCAATGATTTAAGGAGGACAATGCAGGATGAAGTAAGAGACCTTCTTTTCTATTACACGGCCCAATCCAGATTCGAGAGACCTCTCTAGTTGCTGTAATTCCTGGATATCTAAACCCTGCAGATCTTCTCCTCTCATCTGCCTACACGTTTCGAATTACTTTTAATCTCAGTTACCAAGACAAAGAAATTACTTCAAGGAACTGAGAGAATATACCTTAGTTGACGGCTCTTCTCAGCAACTTCCTTGCTCAAGTTGGTGCGGTTGCTGTCTCAACTAGCTACAAAACAATACAGCACTCTTCAAGCAGGAAAATAAAAAGGAGCATAAATCAAAAGCCCTTCAGAGCAAGAGTTTATATGACGACCAAATCAGTTCCTATATATTTTCCTTCTGCTCATTTTGCCGTTTTTCATTTTCTCCGCCAGTTATGGTAACCTCAAGGTTCTTTTTTTACCATCATAAATAACCATGAAGGAGAAACTATCCCCTTTTATCGAATTCACCACTTGATTGGGACAAAATCTTAACTATATACCAAGAGAGAAATAATCCTTAATAATATTGAGTAGCATTTGGTTCAGCAGAAAATATGAGGAAAAAATATTTTCTAACGAAACGGATCTAACAAAAATTTCAGAAATATGTCAGAATTTGGTACAACCATATAGCTTATAGTTTGAATTGAACGCAGGAAACCCATGGCTGAGTTGTTAAAATGGACATGAAAAGGTCAATTAATGAAGGACAATAATGCATCTTCAATTATAAGTTAAAAAGAAGAAGGAGAAGAAGATAATAACCTATGCAAACGTGAAGTCGATCGCTCCATTTTAACGATTACAGTATTGCACAAACCCAAATTTCTATTATTATATTTTGCAGGCATTAAACATATATATAAGAGCACAGAACACGGACCTGCAATTCAAGAGACGGTTGTTCATGGTGTGATATGTTCTTCGAGTGCAAATGATACCTTTCGAGTATTTCCTTCATGCTTCAAAAGACAAAGAATCATAGTCACATTCTGGGATGTGCCCATGTTAGAAGACAAATCATGGTGCATGTTGACTAAGGTTCCACTTGCACAAAACCAAGAGGCGCTAAAAGAACAGTAGACACTACTCTAAGACGCCTTAACATGATGGAAAATATATAGATTTACATTTCTACTGCGAAAACAAAAAACGGAGAACAGACATCGAAATTCATGCTTTCCATTTAGAATACCCAGTCATAGATACAGGCTCTTCTAATTCACAAGGTAAGTGTAATTATTATAATTTCTTCCCTCCACCGCTAACCCGAACCTCTCTTAGATACGTATTTTTACTGTTACTTATACTTCATCTAGACATTGAATCAGTGCCATAAGATTCGTTTCAACATTTTGAACAACTTAAGATCTATGCCAGTAATGCCCCATTCTTCTCCCCTCCTCGCATTCCGCTGAATTCAGCTCTCCAAATCATATTCCCTTCGTCTACCGCCCCCTCCTAACATGGGGAGACATTTCTTTTCATAAATTTATCACTTAATATCTGCCATAAATGATTCAAGTGGCTTCAAAATGTACGCTGAGGCAGCGGGAAATTCCGGGAGCACTCAAGCATAATCACTTAAGGCAAGGGAGTGTTTGGTAGAAAACGATGGCAAACCAAGTGGAACACAAGCAAATTGGATATCAATTATAATTCGGAACAAATATATTAGTCAACGAATAATAGTGTTACATGACATAATGACAAACTCAATTGAATTATAGCTAAGATCATGCATCTTTGGAAGTGCTGAAATGCAAGCCATTTGGTCACGTCAGATCTGTCCGTAGAGCCTGAAGATAATCTGTAGGAGCAGATTCAAACCTCTACTGACATGCATTAAAATAAATAAAATATTTAAAAAAAATTGGCCGTGAATTGCTTCTTCTGCAGACGTGATGGATGCTAATAATGCATAACTACAAGGGCACTGCACATCAAGCGTTCCCACTATATTTATAATCACATTTTTCAATGTTTCAGTCAGAAAATCTTCCCTTTGAATGGCTTTTAGGATTCTAAGCACTTGATAAAAATGCGGGCAACTGCTATCCACTGCAGATGATCCATCGATATTCTATCAGGACCACGAACAAGAAGGAAAAAAGGAGAGGAGTAAAGGTAGCCAAGTTCAATTATTATTGCAGATGGCTGAGCTATAGCAACTTTCGTTCGACCACCACTAATTATTTTTGCTACCGAACATAAGTACCACTAAAGGAAGATTAAAATGAAAGCGAAGCATCATTGTGTACCTTCTAAATGTATCAAACAAGAAACGTAGGCATATGTCTCAACTAAGTGATTAAAGTTCCCCCTACTGCAAATATCATAACGAACCTAATTTTTTTTTTTTGGCCCAAATAATGGCCTAATCAAAGTAGGCTTCTTTATTAGCTTAACAAGTTATATAATTCTGGTTGCTTCCTCGCTATCTACGCTCTATGAATATTGTCTGGCAAGCTCTTGTTTGGCTGGTTGCGAATATGTATTATTATGCTCAGATATTAATGTCATGTTCTTTCTTCATCCAGCCGCGACCATCGACGTGTGTAAAAAACATCAAATCAGCAGAAAAATGTACGACGCCATACAATGAACTAGAAAAAAGTTGAAATCAAATACGACCGAAACTAGTATCGCGTGTGATAAGTAATTGCACCAAGATGTTTCAGAACTCAGAAGTATTTATTACATAAATATTTTACAACCTTCTTAGACCTGCCATGTTATATAGCTTCTTTGTACAGGCATTCCAACTCAAGACCCCAAACTAAAATCTTCAAGGGTTCACCAATATCAGATTTGCCATATTTTTGTAGCTTCAGGACAGCTCATGTTCCAGTTTTATTTGCCAAACATATTAAATGAAAAATATAAGGTTCATGGTATAATACATCGTCTTCCACGCAAACGTTTAAAAATTAAAGCACTTTTTTTTTTCCTCTCTCTCCAGTTAGGGATGGTGATGGCTATGTTGCTTCTGTTAATGTAGGGTCGAACTTATGGTTATTGGAAACTCGAGACATTACCAACAAAGACAAACTACCGGCAATGCGAATAGCCAAGCAACGAAACCCAACAATCTCGAGACATGCTTTGCAAGAAAAACGGTAGGGGAGAGAGAGGGGAGAGAGAGACCTTGTGCTGGAGTACTCAGAGAGCTTTCCAGTTGAGGAGAAGACTATGAGGCCAACATCCGCATCACAGAGGACAGAAAGCTCCTCAGCTTTTTTGAAGAGCCCCCTGCGTCGCTTGGAGAACGTCACTTGCCTTGCCGCAGCGTTGTCGATCTTCTTAATCTGAATCTTCTCCCGCGCCATTAGATTCCCTTATTCTCACCAGCAAAACTTGCAAGGGAAAAAAAAAAAAAAAGGAAAACCGAAAACAGTTTCAGTATCAAGAGAGAGTAACGAGACAAGGAACGAACCAACATAGAGCGGAAGAAGAAGCCCACCTAAAAGAGTAGAGACAATAGGAAGAAAGCAAAGGCCAAGGTTGAAGGAAGAATTGACTACAGAAGCAGCTTGTGGTATATCCTTGAGTGAAGCAAAAGCAAAAGTGCAGGCCTAATAGGAGAGGGACAGAAGGTGAGGTAAAACTGCAGGCATATAGCCAAATTTAGCTAAGAAACTCACGAGAAACCCTAGTTACGGAAGGAGCGTGTTGGGGGATCGAAGAGGAGACAGGAGGAAGAAACTTGGATGGATGAAAGGAAATAGAGAAAGCGGATAAGGGCGACTTGAGAAGGAGAGATGTCGTTGGTGAAATTTCTTTCCTTATTAAGGAATACGAAGGGCAAAGCAGGCGAGGGTGGGTGCCTCGTTGTTGTTGGTTTTTGGTCGCTGTTACTGTTAGGCTTGTGAGTGAGCAAAAATAGACAAAACGGAAAAGCCTCCAATCAGGAGATAGAGAATGTGCTTCTAGAGTTTAGAGGCTTGCGGGTTTGGGGGAAGTGTTTTTATGTGGAAGAGAGGGAAAAATTGGTGAGGGAAATTCCCTACTCCTTCCCGGTCTCGACCTCTCATTCTCAACGCAATCGACTCCTCCGCGCGTGAAAGGATGTGAATTCACAATCACAATTCAGTGACCTTTTACTATCAAATGACATCCTTGTCCTTTTAAAAAAAACTCATACTTCCCTTTTTTAAAATTAAAAAAATTGCCATGTATTTTTTATTTGTAAGCAAAATTAAAAATTTCAAAAAATATTTATCGTATTTTTTAAAAATTATCTCACTTAATATTTATTTTTTATTAAGTAATTTGTTTTATAATTAGTTAATTACATGGATAATTTCATTTAGAATTTTTAATTTTAGACATAATTATTATACTTAACTAATTTTTTTAATCATCCATCTTAATTTATTGATTTTTTTTGTAAAATTACTTATATTAATAAAATTTATTTATTGAAATGGTTTCTAATCTTATTTTTTTTATAAAATTTTTAAAAACACTCAGTATTAATAAGAGAGCGATTGAGTGAAATAATATGTTTGAGGAATAAAATCATGAGAGATAATATTGGGACGGTTATCTTTGATGAAACTTTTTTTAAAACATCTTATATTTTAGAACATTAAATCGTCTCAATAACTATATTCTAAAATGAGATAAAGGAAGTATTTATAAGGTATGAAGAATTTTATTTATTTATTTATTTATAAGACATGTTTCAATTCAATCTTTTGGTTTTGCAATATATTTTCAAATTCTCCAGATTTAAAGTTAAACCCTTATAAGAGTTCTTTGCTAAAATTCTTCCTATTATATATGCCATTATTATAGTATTTTTATATTTTAAAATAAAAGAAATTTATATTTTAAATTATACAAGGTGATCAATAAAATTCAAAATAAATACTTCGTTTAATACTTTAACATAGTAGATGATCACTATTCTATTACAGTTATACAAAACTAATACTCTCTTTATTAAAAAAATATAAGGTATTTTTAATCGAATCTCACCCTCAATAAAGTAGTTACATACTTTCAAACTCATACTATTTTTTTATATTTATCCCTATTAAATATCCTACAATAAATATAAAGTCATTATCAATAAGGGCACTTTTAAAAAAATAATGACTAAAAATACCTTACATTTTTAATATTTAATTTTTAAAAAATGTTTTATAATTTTTAACAAAGGAAGTATGAATTGAAAATTAAATATTAATTTATTTCTAAAAATGTTGATGTTATAAATACAAAATACATATTAAATTGGAATTAATTAAAATTCCCATTCCTTGTGAACTAAAAAAAAATGCTTCATTTAATGTGCCGTTGAATTCCAATCCCGAGCTATGTAAGGTCATGTTTGGTACATCAGAATTGTGAAAAAAAAATAGAATTGGACATGGAATTCTTCAGTTGGCTTGTTTGGTACTAGAATTGCTTTCTTGAAGGAATCTGATTCCATCAAAAATTGATGGAATCCAATTCCATTGTAGAGACCATGGAATCCACTAACTCAACATGAAATTGGCTTATGTGTCATTAAAAAAATAAAATAAAAGGTATTTGAGCTTTAAAAGTACATTCTTTATTTTTATTGTTAAATTTTTCATTAAAAAAATAAAATAAAGGATATTTTGATTTTTTTTATATTTTAAATACATATACTTATTAAAATTATATCATGATTCCATCTTCATACCAAACACACTTTTAAACTCAATTCAATTCCGATTCAATTCTGATTTCGATTCCAATTCTAATTCCGATTCCGATTCTATCAAAAACTTTTCTATCATATCAAATGAGGCCTAAAAGGTAAACATGCAAGTATCAATGATCCGTACAAATGAGGAGGTAAGCTTGGCCTCTGACGTAGCGCAGAGTGCAGCCGTAGACTTAAGGCCATATTGTTACCCCTTCATTAAAAAAATTATAAAATATTTTTAATAAAATTTTATATTTTAAAATTAATATTCTTTTTTTATATTACCTATATTAATAAAAATATTTTATTCTAAAATAAATATAAAATAATTTATTTATTAAAAATATTTTAAAAAATATAATAATTACATTTTAAAATATTAAAAATATTTATATTTTAAATATGAAAATTTTAAAAAATATTTTGATTTATATTTTTAACACAGAGATTATTTGGAAGGGACATCGAATGAGAACGACAACTCGCTTTTACGAGGATGCGGTTGTGTCGCAATTTCCTCTCGTTCACCTTCATCCCTCCTTCCTTCTCACATGTCTCCTGCATGAAAATAATTGAATAAAGATGTAAATTTAATCATTTATTTTTCCTATGAGCATTTGATAATTTAAACTATTAAATAATATAAAATAAATTTTTATTTTTAAAATAAAAATATTTAGTAACTCACTGTAAAATTCACCTAATGAATATATGCGGGTTACAAATGATATGTGAAGGTATAAATTTAACTATAAATTATTTTCAAATAGTACTGAGTAGTCTCTATTATAAAAAAACAGATTGTCCAACATCTTCCTCTTAATTTTGACTGAACATTATTTATTGTCAAACTTATGAGACCCACTATAATTAATCTTTTCAATTTTTCTGCTTTCGTTCTCATTTCAAATAAAAAAGAAGGAGTTTAAAAAGTTTTATTTGAAGACATTCATAAAGATAATGCCAACAAAATAAAAGAAATAATTATGGTTAAATTAAATTAGAATCAAGCTTCTTCCACGCATAATAAAATCAAGTTTTTACTTTATTAGCATCGTTATTGTGAATGTTTTTAAATGAAAACTCTTTAAGCCTCTTTTTCTTGAACTAAGACAAGAAACGAAGATTAAGAGATTAAAGAGATTAACACATTATAGATTTCATGAGTATGAAAATAAATAATATTTAGTCAAAATTGATGGAAAGGTATTAGATGTTCCATTTTTTATATGAGAGGCTTTTCAATACTCTTAGAAAAATAATTTATGACTAAATTTACATGTTTGCACATATGACGTGGAATGCCACAAATCATTTGTGGGCTTCACATAACGTCCGTCGATTAAAGTAATGATAAGCTACTGAGTTTTGTTTTTTTTAAAATTAAGAATTTGTTTCACACTATTTGATAGTTTTAATTATCAGATGTTTTAAAAAAAATAATCCATGATCAAATTTATTACTTTCGCCAAAATAATGTAACATATTATGTTTTTACATAATGTTCAAATTAGATATTTCATTTTAAATATTAATATTAACTGATCGATACTCGTTCGTGCAATATTAATATAAGGCTCTGAATGACACTGTTATTTGAAGTTGTCTTTTCAACTATCTTTTTAAGATTTTTTTTAATTTAGTTCAGTAGTTAATCAATTTTATAATAATTATTTTTGATGTGAGAGCTAGTTATGATTCTTTCTTTAATTTAATCAAAAAAAATTATCTTTCGGTCTCAAAAAATTTTATTTTGTTATAATCCAGAACTAAATTCTTGTTCAATGCAATCTAATTTTTAAAGTTGTAATTATTTAAGCAGTCTGTTAGTTTTTCCTATAATTTTTAAAAGTTTAAAGACCAACAAATTAAATGGATGAAGTATGAGACATTAAATTGAACAAGCTAAACTAAAAAATGAATCAAAAATACAGGGCTAAATGCTTCTTTTTTTAATTTAATTTATATTTTTTCACAAATGAATTCTTTAAAAAATAGATGGCGCTATTGGCCAAAAAAATTTGTAATAAATGACCCTATGTTTTCTCCTTCAACATTCTAAAGATTCTTCAAACTTCAATTTTGTTGGCCAAAATTTAACCTCAAATATTAATGTTAATGATATATAGAAAAATAACGTAATATATAAATCATTTAATCATTTGATTATGAGAAATATGAAATTTAAAAAGTTTGGAGCACCATGTTTCAACCTCTAATAGTTTATTATAAAAATTGAAAAGATATTTTAAGCATGTAATTTTTTTTGTGATACTAAAATAATAGTAGAAAGAATCATATTTAAGGATCATTCAAAAAAATTATCACAAATAAAGACAAATGTAAAAATTATTAAAATAGAAATATAAATTTGTTTGTAAATAAAAACTATTATAAGTTACTCCCTCCATTAAAAATATAAAGCATTTTTTAAGGAGTTAGATGTTAAAAATGTAAGGCATTTTTAGTATTTTAAGGTGTAATTATTTTTTTCAAAAGTACACCTATTGATAATGACTTTATATTTATTATAAAGTATTAAGAGAGATAAATATAAAAAATAAGATTAATTTAAAAGTAAATAATTATTTTATTAAAATTAAAATTTAATTAAAAATATTTTATAATTTTGAATAGAAAGAGAATTACTTATAAATAAATTTTTGGAGTGGTTTTGAATTTCTCAAAATAATAAAAGAACCTAAAACCGATAACTACAATTTAATTAGGGGAATGAGGACCCAAGAACCGAGACACTTCTGTCGGACGGGATGAATGAGGAAGGCAGCGTGAAGATAGCGCAACAATTCAGATGCGGGTGGGTAGGGGTCAACACTAGGCTTGTGCTTAGCACCTAATAGGATGGTTTAAATGAAACATTTTAGTCCTCACTTTTTATTAAAAGCAGGAAGACAGTGACTATTATAAGAAGAATATAATTAATAATTAACAATAAGTAATTCTTCATGTATCTTAGATTAAATATTTAAAAAAATTGCAGAAGTGTCAAAACATAAATTAATTCTACTAAAATTAAGAAAAAAATTAAACAGTGGTTTATAAAATAATTTAATTTATATTTATTAAATATATTGATTTAAAAAATATTTTATATGTAATCGTTCACTCTATTCATTTAAAAAAATAATTAATGCTTTATCTTTCCATCTAAAATGACTTGTAAAAGGGATGGTCAATTTTTTAGAAAGTGAATTGTATAGAACACTAGAAAGCATATGTAT